ACTGCGCCCACAAATCCCCCTTATAAATGCACGGAAAGTTAGCCAGCCTCCTCTCTTCTCCCCCCCCTCTCTCTCTTTCTCTCTCTACTATATATATATATATATATATATATATATATTATATTTATATATATATATATATATATATATATATATATATATATAATATATATATTTGTACCTTTCTCCTATGCTCCTCTCATTTCAAACAAATCTGTCCCTATCGACAATGTCAAATGATTATTTTATACAGTCACGTCTCACCTGATTGATCAGGCCTTGATCCTTTTGGAAGTCTGGTCTGGGACCGGGCTCCGGGGGTCTTTAACCTCTGTTTTTAAAGCTACTCAAGGTTCTCGCTTCAATGACGCGACTCGGCAGTTTGAGGATGAGTGGCCCAAACTGCGAGTAGCGTCACTGATGCGAGAACTTTGGCTAGCTTTTAAAATAGCTTGGACAGGTGCGGGTAAGTGTGAATTGAACCTGTCTAGCATGGGCCAATAGGCCTGCTACAGTGTTCTCATGAATCCTTCAAGTATCAAGCCTTTCAGGTCGCAAGCTTCATTTTTTTTTCAGTTTCATGTCGTTTATTCCACAGGTCCAGGACTAGTTGGAAACCTCAGGAGTGTCCAGCGTGTAGACGTGCAGGTGTGTGGGGTTGCACACTGGTGCTGTCTACTCGATTTCACGTTCTCATATACTGTGCCAATTCACCCCCCAACCCCACCCCTTCTCCCTCGACGCTCGCATGCAGTGCCACACTGGTCCCCCCTCACCACCTCCCCCACTTCCCCGTCACATTACAGCTGTGATATACACAAGAACCACTCCACTTCCACTGGCACCAGGCAGTCTTCTCTCTCTCTCTCTCTCTCTCTCTCTCTCTCTCTCTCTCTCTCTCTCTCTCTCTCTCTCTCCTCTCTCTCTCTCTTCTCTCTCTCTCTCTCTCTCTTTACAATTAGCTATTTGTGTGTACAAGAACTTTGCGCTTGCCATCTCATCCTCTTCCCTTAATTTACTGTAATATTATTTTCAACTTTTTTTAATGGTTGACGAACACATATCCTCTAATTTGGCAATTATGACTAACTGGTAATGATGACAGCAAACTAATAATGATGACAGTAAGCTGGTAATGATGACAGTAAGCTGGTAATGATGACAGCAATATGACAATGATGATAGCAAACTGGTAATGAAGACAGAAACTTGGTAATGATGACGGGAACTTAGTAATGATAATAGGAACTTGGTAATGAAGGCAAGAACTTGGTGATGATGACAAAAAGTTATTAATGATGACAAAAAGTTGGTAATGAGATTATAATGATGTCAATGACGCCAGAAAGTTTGTGGTCTTAAAGTTGCTTCTGCATTCAACTGAAGATGGCTAAGAAAGCGAAATGTTTTGAGAATAAAGATACCAAACTGTTGCACGTGTGTCTTACTCAGAAACTCTGCATGTTCAAAGGGCTAAATAACCCCTGGATTCCATTTTTTTTAAATTAGGCAAATCAAAGAAACTTCCGCTATTTCTAATCCTCTCGCAAGAACAGAAAATCATTTCAACTTCGTCTGGAAAGGAAAAAAAAAACCTGTGTAACCTCCTTTCCAGGAAGATATATAATATTAAGGATAATTTAACAGTCCAGAAACCAGACAAGATTTAGACTTTTGTTTTAGACTTTACCGTCGAAGCGGCTAAATTGTTGTACATCCCAAGATCCATTCTGTTGACAGCAGCGTAAGAGGAAAGGACCCAGGAACTAGGCCTCAAAAGGATTAATAGGAGAACATTCAGATTTATATATATTCAAACAAGAGAGGTTTGGTGAGACATGGTCCAGAAAAAGTTTGTTGTACACGCTTTGTGCAATACAAGTCAACACTGCAAATTTATTAAGATGTGTAGTGTTAATTACCTCAGCGATCAGTGATATGTGACCTGTTTCAAAGTTCTGTTAATCTGGCAACCCGGCTTGTGGCCACACGTCCCTGCTGATTTCCTGGTCGACCAGACTGTTGCTGTTGGCGTCCCGCCGGCCCACATATCAGTATCTGGCACACCAGCGATGGTAGTGATCCAGTTTTCCCTTGAAAAAGTTTTGCACGACTGAATCCCCGACAAGATAGATGACTCACACTCTCATAATGCTAGATTTTTCTCCCGTAAAAAAAAATGTATATTTACGAGACGCCTTAATGAGGCGTCTCGCAAGACCTCTCCTCGCCACACTGTGTCATGTGTCATCCACACTACGTCACGTGTCGTCCTGTGTCATGTGTCATCCACACTACGTCACTTGTCGTCCTGTGTCATGTGTCATCCACACTACGTCACGTGTCGTCCTGTGTCATGTGTCATCCACACTACGTCACGTGTCGTCCTGTGTCATGTGTCATCCACACTACGTCACGTGTCGTCCTGTGTCATGTGTCATCCACACTACGTCACGTGTCGTCCTGTGTCATGTGTCATCCACACTACGTCACGTGTCGTCCTGTGTCATGTGTCATCCACACTACGTCACGTGTCGTCCTCACATGTGTCATCGTACTGCCTTGCAGTGTAGCTCTTGTCCCCGGGTCCGCGTGGATTGGACAGCAGTCCACGAGTGGGAATGACTGGATGGAAGGCCTACCAGTAGGCTTAGTGAAGTGATTCCTTCCTTTGTTTTCATGTAATGTTTCTGTCTCTACTTATATCGACTCTTTACTTTCGCAGTTTCTGTTGCTTAGCGTCTCTCTGTCTCTCTCTTCCCTTCTGGTGTTTATAGACTCTCCCTCTTCCCTTCCTTCATTTATTGCCTCTCCATCTTTCCTTCTCTCATTTATTGCTTCTCCCTCTTCCTTCCTGGTGTTTATCGTCTCTCTTCCCTACTGGTGCTTATCGTCTCCCTCTTTCTGTCGTTTATCTCTTTTCCTTTTTCTATCGTTCATCGTCTCCCTCTTTCTATAGTTCATCGTCTTTCTATCGTTCGTCTCCCTCTTTCTGTAGTTTATCGCTCCTCCCTCTTCCTTCCCGGTGTTTATCGTCTCTGGCTCTTCCTCCCGCTGCCTCTCATCCTCACCTTGCTTCCTCCCACCTTCCTGGGGCTGCCCTCCCACCTTCCTGGGGCTGCCCTCCCCTGCAACCCCTGCTGGTGCTCCCAAAATATCACCTTGCGTGTAAACTGGAGAGCTTCCTGTTTTGAGGGTCTGCGTTGCCCGGCTCCCCAGGCAGCCAGGCAGGCAGCGCAGGCAGGCAGGAAGGCAGGCAAGCGGGGAGGGGATGAGGGGGGAGAAGGGGAGCTTTTAAAGGGGGATTCGGTATTATGACGTGTGGTAGGGAGCGAACACGGCCGCCCTCATTATCGCTAGTGCAACACCTCAACTCCATTTGCGAGTGGCAAGCGCCGGCTACATATTACGCGGGGGATAATCAAGACACGTAAAATGTGCACAGGCCGTACGCACACAGCAGTAGAATACGTACACAGACGTACACAGGGCAGCGGGGGCAGCTGACACTTCGCTCGCTACCACCACCACGCACACGGCACCCTGGCCACACATGGCCACACACACCGCCACTCTCGCACTCACTAATCTCCTTCTCAAGCCTGTATTTCATGTGTTTCAGAGTAAATATTACAATGGATGGGTACGTACACACTCGTCCTAGCAATAAACGTTGTCAGTTAGAGAATATGCAAGAGAGAAGCGTCTGTACGTGTGAAAATGTTAGGAAATGTGTGATGTGGGTTAAGTCCCTGTGGTGGGCGGCCCGGTTGGTGGTTACAGAGGAGCGCAGAGGCGGCCGTCACAAAGGCACAGAAAGCATAATGTCAGGCTTGGCGCAGGCCGTTGTGGCTCTAAGGTGGGTGGAGGCGTGTGCGAGACATGGCAAGCAGCGGCGACGCCTCACAACACAACACCAAGTTCCAACACATTTCGTCCCTTTACCAGAACAATTCGTTCGCCACAACGTCGCCTTCACTAGACGATATATTATTAAGTTACTTTTTCAGGGCGCTGGGGATGGAGAGACAAGCACTGGTGAGTACTGCTTGAGGGGGCGAGTGTGTTGCCGGCACACAGGTGAGCGAAACCTTGAGGAGTGCCACCCACCGCCTCGGTTAATCTGAAACTCCACATCCTTCTCACGGCGGGCGAGGGTCGTAAGGGCGTCACGCTTACATAAATCACTTAAGACTCGCGCCTTTCTAGCCCTAGGAGGGTGAGCAGCAGCGGGCCGGACACACACACACAGGCGGCCCGACCCAGATGACTCGCCCCGTCCCGTAGCAGCAGGGGGACGCCCATCTGGGGAGGGGGCGGCGGGCGGGCGGGCCAGGGGTGGAGGGGGCGGCGGGCGGGCAAGGTTCAAGGGGACTGTTAGAACGGGCACGCCTAGGTGGGAACGAACGCTGGCATCACCGACGTGCACGACACGCCCTACAAGTGACCACAAGATTCTAACCTCACACCTCATTAAATTTCACATAATTGGAAGTGGAATGCCAATTATCCGAACTGCACTGCGGCAGGAAGCGAGAACAACGTGAGTAAACAGTGGTGAGTTTATGACTAGATGCGACAGTTCTAGGTGTGATAGTGTTGCCATGGACCATAACTAGTCGAGGTGCCATAAAATGTGGGGGGAAGGCTGTATATGACGGGAGTGGAAGGGGGGGGGGGGGAGCAGCCAGACGCCAGCCAGCTGCCAGGGTTCACATATCAGCCAGGCTCCTCCAGCACTACTCTGGCCACCACCTCCCTCTACCAAGGCTATTCAGTAGTCTCGGGAACCATGATCCTGGTGAATAAGGCTCGGAATGTTACATAAAGTGGTAGCGACAAGAAAAATAATTACAGACCTGAAAAAAAAATAGACTATGATGAAAAAATGGATGAATCCATAGCAGCGTCAATGTTGCAGCCACCACACACAAGGACATCAGTTATGTTGTGACATTATATAGTGATATCATATAACCCTCATCGATGAATATATTTACCTTGATTGTTCCAGTTTGAACATAGATGTCTGGATAGGGATCCTTGTCCGGGTTATACTCGAGTCCTGCAGGAGGTGTAAGCTGGGTGATAATGGGGTCCTCCACGGCCCCGCTCAGGTAGCCTGGCGGGGGACCGATCCTGAACCCTCGTCCTTTAACCCATAACTTGAACTTCGAGGTCTCGTTATCTACATAATCTCCTCGAAGGATCTGCAAAATTCTTTGGTACTTATTCCTTGTAATGGTCTTGGTTTTGGCTGAATCACCGTAGGTCTGAAGGACCCAAGGCTGGTAGGTCTCGTACATGCCCAGGCGAGACATCTTGGCTGGGGGAGGACGGATCTCTCCCTTGAATTCTGGGGCTCTCATATCCGTGAGTTCAGGACCGCCTCCCGGAGTTAATATGAGGCCGGCGGCGCGACGATCCCGTTTACGAGGGGAGCGGTCTTGTACCTGCACCTGATGTACCATCTTGTCGGTGGGCGGCTCAGCGGGTGGCACTGGGCACGACCTGCTCTCTACAGGCCACCAAGGACTCGAGAATATGTTGACAGAATCACTCAAGTTCCCCACGTTACCCGTGTACTTCAATATATGCTGGGAATCCACCTTGTCAAGTGTAGCCGCACTGTTTTGTCAACGTTTCACACTTCCGTTTTATCCCGACTTTTACTAGAGTTTATGGAGTCAAATAAGATCACACCAAGTGCTTGAGTTTGTTTTCTTTAAGACCACAGCAGTAATAAAAGAGCAGACAGGGTTGCCCAGGTAGAGATGTGAGCTTCTTCAACCCTGTGTAGCAAGGCGTCTGCTCGCCCAGCCTACACTGGGATCAACAGGTTCACTCACATACAAACTGAATCTGTCGTCTGGCTGCTAACTCGCGAACTTCCTTCCCAAACACTATCATTAAGCTCTAGTTGCCGTGCAATTTTCATATTTTCTCATATTTGATGCGAGCACATATTTCAATACATTTCCATTTTATATCACATTGTCAGACCACAAAAATCGAAGGCTCATGTCAAAAGAGCCAGACAAGAAACTACAATACACTGATGATTCTCGTGGCAGTGAGAGGAGTGTGGGAGCCAACGTGTGAGAGGGCCACTTGTCGATGGAGCGGCCGTACCCTCGCCTCCACACTCTCCGGCCGCCAACCACCGTCTGGCTGGCCGGCTCATCGTGTCTACGGTTCACTACGGTCACCGAGCGGACCCCATCGGCAGAAAGTTCAGTCACTGGGACAATCCCACACCACTTAACCTTCCTGCGCGCACACACGTTCAGATATTGTGGCACCTGAGAGCAACTCACACAAGGTATCATCTTGTAACATCACCTTCATCTTTGTAACATTAACGTCGTCTTGAAACTTCAATATCGTCACATAGTACTGGAGAGCCTTCACATTATCATCCAGGTGCGTAGATGTGGCACGTGAGTCCAGTTATTCGCATAGGTTCAGCCGACAGCTGGAATTGATCATAATGTTAAGAAGGTGTCGTGAGTAAGTGACGGAGGCCAATTCTCGAGTGGCATAACGAATGTGATAGTCTCGGCTGGAAAATTAATTTATCTAGCTGAGTACTCACCTAATTGTGGTTGCAGGGATCGAGACTCAGCTCCAGGCCCCGCCTCTTCACTGAGTGCTACTAGGTCCTCTCTCTCCCTGCTCCATGAGCTTTATCATAAATATCTTTCTCTTAAATTTAGCAATGTATGGTTCCTGCATCCACTACCTCACTTGCTAGGCTATTCCACTTCCTGACTACTCTATGACTGAAGAAATACTTCCTAACATCCCTTTGACTCATTTGGGTCTTCAACTTCCAATTGTGACCCCTTGTTTCTGTGTCCCCTCTCTGGAACATCCTGTCTCTATCCACCTTGTCCATTCCACGCAGTATTTTGTATGTTGTTATCATGTCTCTCCTAACCCTCCTGTCCTCCAGTGTCATCAGGCCGATTTCCCTTAACCTTTCTTCATAGGACATTCCCCTTAGCTGTGGAACTAACCTTGTCGCAAACCTCTGCACTTTCTCTAATTTCTTGACGTGCTTGATCAAGTGTGGGTTCCAAACAGGTGCTGCATACTACAATATAGGCCTGACGTACACGGTGTACAGTGCCTTGAACGATTCCTTACTAAGGTATCGGAACGCTATTCTCAGATTTGCCAGGCGCCCATATGCTGCAGCAGTTATCTGGTTGATGAGTGTACACAGACTCAAGTGTACTGAGTGTACACAGACTCAACTCTCTGGGTCGGTGTGTGTGTAAGTAAATGTGTGTGTGTAAATAAGTTTATTCGGGTATACACAAATACAGTTACATAGATTATCATACATAACTGCATGTGTAGAGATTCTAGGATAACCCATATATGCTGCTATGTATAATAATCTATGTAACTGTATTTGTGTATACATGAATAAACTTACACACAGATCCAGAGGGTTGAGTCTCTGTGTACCCTACATCCCCCCAAAACAATGGTCAGGTAGGGTTGGATGGAGGTTCCTTCTCAATGTCTTGAATTTACCGACGTGAGGGGCTCTACTCTCCCCTCACCATCCTTGCCACACTGATCCCTGCCCCGTATATGTTCCCTCTTTCCCCTTACATATTGCCCGCTCCCTCGCCCCGTATCTGAGACTTCTCCCCCCAGCCCGTATATGCCCGCATGAGATACTGTATTCGTTACACATACTGCCACACCCTCTGTATGCTGCTCAATATGTCAGTAAAATGTGGTGGGTGTAGGGTGTTGAATGAACAAGATGCAATACATATACACTGAGATTTAGTGAATGTACACAGAAAGGTTTGCAGCTCAGTACAGTATATAAACACAAAAATGTAGGGGTGCACTTAATAATGAATATACACTTTTCATGTTTGGTCAAAATGAACTACAATTTCTGCTGCACTTTCGCTATACACTATAAAATATGGGCTCTTGTAACTCTAAAACAACTTTTCCACACACATATCAGATCCCTCAGAGATTCTAACATCCCTCCCGCAGTCTCTCCCCACACACACCAGATCCGACAAGGAATCTTGCACCCCCTCCCGCTGCCACCTCTTCACATACCAGGTCCAACAGAGACCCCTGCACCCCCTCCCACAACTTCTCCACGTCTCTTGCCTTGGTGTGGCTACAACCAGTTCCAGCCGTAACATTGTTGTGAAGCCTTCTAACGAAACCCTGGACGCCGCGCACCTTTCCTCTTGTCATATATTATGCAGGTCAGAAATTTCGACCGCCACTAGAATAAGATTTAGGAATAGTGAGCCGCTTAGCCACGCATCAGGTTACCTTAACGTAGTGGTGAGACTTGAAGAATTTGTGCATTGCGAGAGAGGCTTCATCTCTGTAGGGGGGGGGAGAGGGGTGCCACTCTCCTCACAAGTTGCCTGCTTAAGGAGCACGACAGTTTCTCCATCTTCTAATAACATGTTTGTATTTCCACTATAATCTACCTTGTCCGTAATTACTATCGCATTTGCTTTGTCTGTTTCGTAAGGTGAAGTCTAGGATCTTTCTTTAATTTATGGTATAACTTATCATATCTTTGAGGGCAATTGTGTTGCAGAGGTCCGAGCTTCGTTCAGACCTCTGCAACACAGCGAAACCTCTTTACCCTTATGCAAATGCTGTTCATCTATATGCTTCACTGTAAACACTTAGCCTACACACCCCCTACCCTTCCTAAAGCCTCCTTGTTCATCTGCGATCCTGCTCTACATCTTACTCTTAATTCTTTTAATAATAACTCTGCCATATACCTTTCCAGGTATACTGAACAGGCTGATTCCCCTACAATTTTTACACTCTTTCTTTTGACCTCTTTGCCTTTATACAAAGGAACTATGCATACTCTCTGCCAATCCCTAGGTACCTTCCCCTCTTCAATACATTTATTAAATAAAAGCACCAGTCATTCCAAAACTATATCCCCCACCTGCTTTAACATTTCTGTCTTTATCTCATCAATCCCAGCTGCTTTACCCCCTTTCATTCTGCCCACTGCCTCACTACATATTGAAACAAAAACAAACGAGCATACATAAAAAAAGGGATCAAGAAACAAGCACACTGTAAAAAGATAAACATGGGAGAGTAAGAGATTTCCTTCGGTAAATACAGAGACTGACATACTTCCTTACTCAAAACTGAACAGAAGTTACTGAAATATTCATTCCACTGCAAGGAAAGACGGTAATGTACAAAGATTTAATAACCAATGTTTGAAAACAAAATCTACGAACAAAGGAGCATAGCAAAAAGTAGAATAAAAAGGATGAAAAGAAGAAAAATGGTCATAAGTAAACGTCTTAAAATCAAGAGGAATGGGAAAAAAATATTCGAAAATTATTTACAAAAATACAGCTAAAGACCATTTTGAATTACTAGTTCAAGAGGCATTCACGTTCAAAACAAGACAGCTACCAGTAAAAGGGAATAAGAAACCTTGCCACTGGATCTTAAACCACACAGCTTCAACACAACACAAAAAAGCTGAAAATGCCAGAAGGAAGTGAAAACAGCAAATACAACACTACTAGATAAAATCCCACTTTGAATACTGAAAGAGACAGTAGAGATGTCATATAAGCCACTATTCGAGAGTCGTCTCACAATGTATACTGAAGAAGATGGCCGTTACTATGTAGGTCTCTAAAAAGGATATCATAAATCAGTGAAGAAAAGAAGTTGTTAGGAAGCTGTAATACTAAATGAAGGACTTTACCAGTCTTCAAAAAAAGAAAACAGACAAATGAAACCAGACCGTTATCGCTGATGTGTACGGCGTGCAAGGTAATGGAGAGGATAATTAGGAATAAGTTAGCAAATCAATTGGAAAACAAAAGCTATTATAAAAAAGCAGCAAGGGTTCAGAGTGGAAATCCTGCCTAACTAACCTAATTGAATTCAATGACGAGATGACAAAGATCAAACAGGAAAGAGGAGGAGGGGTAGGCAGCTTGTGGGAACTGGGGATGCTCACCGTCGCAAGGAGAATGTAATTAGCAGAGGCTGATAAAACAGGACGAGTGAAGGTGACAATAACGTTATCAATTGATGAAATTATATAAAAAACGAGAAATAATGAGGATTATTATTTTATTTTGCACCCAAACTAGTTCATAACAATGAACCCGGCTAAGTTCAAACACAAGACTTGTCCAGTATTTATCATAACTCGGAGATTTGGACTATCCATCATTAACATAATCACAAAAATCGCAAAAGTAGAGGAGGAAGTGTCTGCTATTTTACATCACAGAGGTAAATGAGACTACGCTTGGTCATCATACACTGGGAAGGGAGAACAGTTGTAAAATTTCACAGAAACAAATGGTTGTGGAATGGAGGTACAAAGTACATTAAAAACATTAGTCACAGCTATGACCCAAAGGCTTTACGGGGCTGAAGCAGGGAAGGTGGAAGCTTCCTAGCTTGCTTCCCTGGGGTGAACAACTTGGTACAAAGTTCAGAATATCATCCCTTGGCGAGGCACAAGTCGCGTATCACTCAGATGTTGTGTGGGCTTGGTTCCCGACTCCTCTGTTAAGCAGTTAGTTTATTCCCAGGCGAAGATCACCTGGTACGGGTCTTTTGCCATAAGCTAACCCGTTCAGTAGTGTCAACACTGGCAGTGGTGATGCTTCAAGTTGTGTCTAAGGTCACCTCTGTAGATGGTGTAGACTGTGGAAAAAAGACACTTATGTAGGACATTTATCAGAAACGCTTCCTCTAATAAATGTCCTGAATTGTACATAAATGTCTTTTTCCACATCTTGTCGCTATCAACACACCATTCTTCATATGGAGTAGCCTCTGGTTCAATGTCGGATAGCAGTGGCTCGGGCGCTCCGCTCACAACTGAGAGGACGTATAGGAAAAATTCTTAGCACTTGCTACCCTCCGTCACCTTGCAGCTACCTAGGAGTCGTGGGTCGCATCATGGGTAGAGGATTTAAAGAAAAAAAATGAACTAGGCTACACATGGTTCAAGTTAATCACATTGTCTTCTCAGCATATTTCATGAAGATCACAATTTATTTGATCCTACCTGAAGTCTACATGGAGAGCATTTCGGGGATCAATGTCCCCACGGCCCGGTCCATGATCAGATCTCCTGGTGGATCAG